ATTACTATAGCTTTAGTAAAAAAACTTATGACAAAAAAAATTAGTTTTTTATAAAAATGTCCATATTGTCATGAATATTTTAGATCCTAGATGGAATGAACATATTAGGTTTCCGAAAGTTTATGCAATTATCGCATATAATAACCGAAGTAAATGATACAGGTTTCAATCTAATTTCTATAGTTTTGGCACAGGTTGTTCAAAAACTCTTGCTTGTTCATAATTTATTATAGGTCTCACAAACTTCTGAAATCTTAAAACTTCATTGATACATAAGAAAAATTGCATGACCTAAAAACCTCTAGAGTTAAAAAAAAATTCTCTTAGTGTTTCTTCAGAAATTCGAAAGGAAAAAAAAATGCCTAAACCTGATAGTGTCTTTTTCATTATATGTAGTAAGGGGGCTGTGCCAACACTGGCTGTGCTCTGTCCATCCTAGGATTTTCCTACCTGAAGGTGGGTGAGAGGGTCATAACAATAGGTATGATCCATCAATGTGTCAAAGGGGAAAATGTATTGTTATGAATAGATCTTTGAAGTGGGGACTTTTGAATTTTAACAAATGCCCATTGCCAAACATTTGGTGAATGAAACATCTCTTTAGCAACGCCTAAAGATTATACCACCACGTGTTGTCAATATAGTACTTTTAGCAATCAAGATGGAGATATTTTTTCATAATTCTAAATTTGGAAGAAAAAAAATCCTGAAACATTAAATTACCTCTATTATTTTCATGGAGTATTGAAGAACAAGACAGCTTGGTCTTGTATTAGAAAAGAAAACGGGTGTAGAGCATAAAACAGCAATTTTTTTGTTAATTACTTGAAGGTTCATTACACTATTACTACGTTTAACAACTCCTATACATCTATCTCAATCATTTCAGTTTTGTTTCTTCCTAAAAATCGATTAAAAAAAAGATTTTGTTTTTAAAATTCTCGTTACTCTTTTCAGCACATTTAGTTAAGATTTAATTTTATTTGTTAAAAATTTATAAATATAACTTTCGATCATATAACTGTTAAAATTACTAAATGTTTACATTTCTTTTGAACCGTTTATACTTTTAAACGTTTCGATACAAATATGAACTTTTAACAGCATCAAATCAGTGTTTTATTAAAATGTTTCAGTTTTTGTACCTTTTGACATGAAATCAAGAGTTAGTACTCGAGTCCAAAATGAAAATTTCGAGAAATAGAAAAGAATGGATATAATTTCAAATTAAATAAAAATAAAATTTATAGCCTTCAGAGGTTTTAGAAACCTATAATAACAGGATTCCCACTCTATAATGAGATTGAAATTCAAGGACTTTCCAGGACTTTTCAAGGACCTCAACAAAATTTTCAAGGACCTTAATCTAAGACCAATTTTAAAAATTATTCTCTTCTATTTTACTAGAAGCAACAATGCTTGTTGTGGCAATAATTAATTTCAAATATAATACCTAAATGCTTTGCCTATATAGAGAGAAGAGAGTATATGTATTATGGACTAAAATTTATATTTTTTTAAAAACAACCCTACTGGTTTTACATATTAATTCACAAAATCATTTTCAGCACAATCTATAACTAATGGTAATGAGGTGTTAATGGTGAAATCCTTTAATCCTGTGTATTTCCATGTGAAGGCTGCATGAAAGACAGAGCTAAATCTTAGGTATTCCATATTCCATGACTATTCCATAACCCCCTCCTCTCCTCTATTAAACATCGTTTCTGAAATTATTCATCCATAATTTACACAACCTTCTCTAAATGTTATGCAGCAACAATTCTTTCTGAAAATAAAAATTAGAAGGAACATATCCCATTTTCACCATGTTTAAAAGCATTATTCGTTATGTGTAATCCACAACTGCCAATGAATATGACCTGGTGGGAATATTTCTCTTTTAATTCACACTGAAGCTTCTAATAGAATTTCCAATTGACATAGGGTCCATCCATGGATAATTGAAGTATTTTAGAGAGCTTTTAACCATCATCCATGCATTTGTAAAAAGAGGACAAAATATTTTCTGCAGTTCCATGACCCATAAATTGGGAGGTAAGATACTTAGTGCAAACTTTATTATCAATTCCTTACCATAATGTCCATCTGCTTAGATTGTAGAGACTGATTTAACGTCTCATCAAAGAGTACAGTGTAGCAATCAACATTCTTCAGCTCATTTATAAGAATCCCTTTGAAGTATAGTGCCAATCCAAAGGAGCCCAAATAGGCTCACTTTGTGGCACTACAAAAAAATTGTCTCGCTATACAGCTATCAGCAAACATTTTGGAGAACAATTTACTAATCCCTTCACAGGAGTTACATGAATAATTACTAGTGATGCACTTCAGACTCCAGAGAATTTCAGCATCAAGCACATTCCTTTTGACCAGATAAGAAGACAATGTTACCTCGGCCACTAAAGTTTCTGTTTCACATGGGGCACACGATGTTGAAGGAGTATTTACACCAGATGAATTAGATGTTGATGTCTTTGGAAAAAGAGAACTCAGGGCATGAGACTGCTTTTTTGTTTTACCTTTCTTTCATGTGTGATTTCAGAGCAGATTCTTCCATTTTCGCGATATCGATCTCCTTCATGCATAATCGGCACTTGGCTCTGAACTTCTTTTCGGGCATCGATAAAATCCATTCTTTATAAGCTTGATTATCCATCCATTGGGGATTAAAATAGCACTTCCCAGGCATAACTAGTCTAAACTACATAACACAAATACGAAGCCGTGCCTTTGCGAATACGCTTTACAATAAAGTTTTGAAATGACGCAAACGTAAGGACAAGTGCGGATGGTAAAACGGCAAATTTATTGAAAACTACAAGGTACATATTGTTGCGAAATTCGAAAGTATTCCAGTCTCGATAAGAAAAAAGAAGATCTAAGCATATGCGTCAGAAGATGAAGTGGAGTCTCGCCCCGAACGCATTGATTGTCTGCTGTGCTCCGGGCGCTTTGCGGACACCAAGACGCTAGGCCCAGTTAGAAACGGTGTCATTAAAAACCACGTGAGAGAGCTCGGGAACAAAACAGAAAGAACGAGAAAGATCCGCCGGTGTTTTATAAAAAAGGGCTGCCAGCAGTATTAGACAAATTCAAGGACCTATCAAGTTTTTCAAGGACCTAACATGTTTTTCAAGCACTTTCAAGGACCTAAATTTAGCAAAAAAAAATTTCAAGGACTTTCAAGGACTCTCAAGGACCGTGGGAACCCTGAATAAGTAATGAAAAATAACAAGTTTTTTAACATCCTATGCCAGAAAATCAAGCAATAAGCTTGGAACTTGTACCAATTACTTAAGTTGTTGTTTTTAGTAACTGCATAACATTTCGTAAACCTAGCGTAAATATTACTGGAGATATGGCTTTTTTTATTAAAAAAAAAAGCTAATTTTTTGTTTTATGGTTTTTAGCTATAACTTTAAAACTATTCAATGGAATTAAACAAACTTTTCGTTGCAATTTAAAATGAATTACAAATGTATTGATTTAAAATTTAAAAAAAAAATTGCGAGAAACTGCGCAAGGTATGAGTATTTCAAGTAGTTCTTTTATGCTGCGTCATTCATAAGAAGGCGGCCAACAGTTTCATCCATCTAGATTTGGCTTTATTTCGCTATTCTGGCGCACACGCCTAAAATTTTTATGCGGCAGTCGATCTTGAACTAGTTAATCTAAGGCAGGTGGTGTGAGATAATTATGGGGTTAAATGCAGGTAGGAACTTCCGAGGATGGATAGAGCTGTACCCGTAGTAAGGAAGCGTATATGTATATTAGATGTACTAGTTAAGCAGCTAAGCAAGTATTGGCGACAGTTCTTTCTAAAATTTCCTATCATTTTGTATACCTGTGATAAAACTTATAAAATATTTATTATAAAAGAAATTTACACATAAAATTTTTAAGGATTAATTTCTTATTTAATAAAAGTATTTCAATTTATTCAATGGGAATTATTTTAATCTCTTTTAGCCTAAGAAAACAATTTAAACAACCTAATTTGAATTTCATTAGCTTATTCAATTAGCTTATTGTTAGATTGCAGAAAACTTTGGATTAAAGCTTCTCTCTTGCTTAAAGAAACAGAGTATCATGTATAAATTATGCTAACAAAAAGGCATATTACGAACATATTTTTATAAACTCATTAAATAATCAATTTAAATCAAAACGTTGGCATTTTTATTCATATTATTAACATTTAACTTATATCCAAATGTACATGTATATATCAAAAAATATTTATGAAACAGATATAGGTAGTACTTAGACTAAAAAAATGAATATGGCATACAACAAACTTTTTTAAAAGGGATTATTTTATTTATCTAAAATATAAAAAGAAAAATAATTAATAAATAATATTTTTATCGATAATTTTTTTAAACATGGTAGAAAAATAACGAATAAAGAAAAATACTTAATAAATAATAATATCTTTATCTATAATGTTCTAAAAATAGTTCTGCTTTTTAAGTTCAGCCCATGTGTGAATCAGGAAGTTATTAAATTAAATCAGTTTTTGATTTGTTGTAGTTATATTAGTTTATCTAATTCAAGTTCTTTTGGTTTCTTTCAACTTTTTTAGAGCCTAACTTACAAAATAAATATTTCAATTGTAGAACTAAGAAATTTTTTTTAACTGTATGCTGTATTCATTTCTTTAGTTGTGCATAATTTAACCTCGATGTATAATTTAATTTTCTGTTTAAGTTCTTCTAAGAGGAAAGAAAAACATTACTTGTATGGCTCTGATGAAATTAAAAACCTGCAAAATTCCTGAGCAACTGAATTCCTTACAGATTAAAAGAATATAAATAAAAGAAATTACTACAGAATACAATTTATGTTCTAATTCTTGACTTGTGAAATGATACTCACATTATGTTTGTCATTTCATCATACAACACAGAAGCAGATAGTGTTACCAATGAATCATGTATAATATGATACTGTCCATGAAGCAGTATGAGTTAAAATCATGTATGAAGTATTTTATTTATAATATACCTTTGAGGTTAGGGGGTACATTATTAAGATATGATTTATAGTGGTGAGCTGCAATGATTCAGTAGTTAAGGTTCTGTACTTCTGTACTTGAGAAGAACTGGGGTCAGATACCCAGTGGTGGCTTGAAGCCATCTAGCTTCCGATTGATGATTCCAGCTTGTCTGGGAAGTAAAGGCGCCTTGCGTGCAATGCTAACCACATTGCCACAATCATGCTGTTGGTCACAAAATTGAACCTCCAAGACACCATGGCCAACACCTGCTGTTGCAGGAATGCTGTACTTTACTAATTTATAGTAGCATGAAATTCATACAATAAGGGTTTAATAACTTGTAAATAAAAAAGTTTTGCATAAGTAACATTATAAAAAAATATATTCTAAAAGATTTAACATGTTTCTGAATTCTTAAAATAAATAATAAAATTTTTCAAATAGTTTTATATAAAAACGGGTGAAAAAGGTATATATTTTCATATTCTACATGAAATATCGGTATTCTTCATATTGTTGTATGCAATCACTCTTGAAAATCATAATTTTTCATTCTTTAATTCCCAATTTCATAATTCTAGAACTTTAGAGTTAGAAGTGAAATTATCATTGGTTTTCAAAAAGGACTTTAATTCCACATTCACTTTAAGAAACAATGTATCTCGTATATTAAACAATGTATCTCGTATATTTAAGTACCCTTAAGAAAAGTAATTAGGAAAATAATATCTACTAAATATATGAAAAAAGATCTGTTATTATAAAACAATTTTTAACCGAAATTATGTTTTTTTAATTTAATGGCATTAATTTAAATTCAACATTCAGAGTTTTTGTCTAAGTTCACTTAATCATAGTCAGGTCCTGGTACCTTCTGGATAATGTGGGTGTTTAATAAATTAGCACTAATTCATTCAGGGTTTTCTCTGAAACTTATTAAACTATTTTTAAAAGAAAATAAAAATCGTATACTTGGAATGATAAATTTGCGTAATTTATTTGTCATTAAAAAAATTATGCTGAAAAATGTGTTATGCATGTTTTATGTTGTTGTATAAAGACCACTATTTTGCTGTTATACAACCTTTAGGCACAATGTTCAGAAAATAATAAGTTATAAAAGAGGTATGTTACTCTTTTGGGGGAAAGTCATACCTAAAACTTTACTTTCGTATTGGGGTGAGTTAGGAATAGTGTAATAAGAGGGAAGATCCAACTGATTAATCAAAACTATAAATATTTTCAACAATTTGCTCAAGTAGATCTACCTAAAAAGTGAAAAAAATTTAATCTTTGCATTTAATTGGAATAGATTTGATCACAAAATGTCTGAAGTAATTCAGTTCAGTAAAAATATCTGCTTTATTTAACTGTTTATGTACTCAATATTTATGACATTATCCAAAACTAAATTTCTCTAAAAATGAAATTTAACACCCATATGTTTAGTCCTAATGTTCTCTACTGAAGAAATTGAAAATTTTATAACTGCTTCATTATCACAAAACAATTTTATCTTAGAATAGAACAAAACGATTATAAAAAAATTTAATCTTAAAAGATAATTTTTTTGATTATTGATTTATCGTTTAAAACTAATATATATTAAAACCATATTAATTATTTTGCAGCTACTGTCATTGTATTCATCTTACATTCTGGACAAGCTTATACATTTCTGCTGCGTTGATCTCCCAAGAAATTGATCAATAGAAATTATCATAGCACCCATTTAGACTATGCCATCTCTATTTGTTGCAAAATCTGAGTCACAATTTAAAGTACTAATTTTATATAAATTTAACAAATAATTTTCACTGTCATTTATATGTTATTACATAGCCTAATAATTTAAGCAAAATATTCCAAAATTTAATACCAGGATTTGGAATTTTAGTAGCATACTGACTGCTTAGTTCAAATCTGGTCTAGTTCAATTTGAATTGAAAACCAAACATCCTAGTATGTTTCTATAAGGAAATTTTAACATTTCATCTCTTATTTACACCATTGATCAGACAATCAAACTTAATCCAATTCTATAGCAATTGATCAATTTAATCTGTAACAATTGATCAATCTAATCTGCAACAATTGATGGCAAAATAGCAAATGGCAAACCACGTGGAAGTAACGGTGGAATTATCGCTCATCAGGTGGGTCAAAATGGTAGGTGATTACTCGAATAAGTGACTCGAAATTTGGAGTATGCTATAAAGTCTTATTAAATTATTTTGATTTTAAAAACTAAATGGAATTATGTGACAATAACTGTCAAAAACACTCATACAATTTATCAAAAAAATAATGAAAATTGACTTAGCTCAATACCATACATTGTTAATTATTGCTGGAACGTTGAAGTAAAATTTCACAAATTAAAAAAAAAAATTTTTTTGAAACAGTTAAAATTTAAAAAAATTAATTTTTTTTTTCTGAATCGTTGATTCACAAAGGGTTGTATAACATAAAAATCATAAATTTCAAATTCTGAATTTCTTTCAGTGTTTTTTAAAATTGTGCATTCTTGTGTAACAGATGTTTATTTTAAGCAGCTGTAACCTACCATATCTTATTGGTACACTTTTAAATCATTTAGTATTTTTATATTACCTTCATCATTTTTAGATGCATAAAAATGTCTCAGTTACAATACAAGTTTGAGCGTCATGTACACTTTTCACTTTTGATTCTTTTTCAAAAATATCAATTGAGAATCAGTTTCTTCTTTATCACTCTCGGTTCCAATCAATAGGTTTATATCCCTAACATTTTGCCATCAATTGATAGGAAACATGGCAATACCTCCTTTAAGGTAAACCTCTGTGATGCATAGAAAAGAACATGGTAATATCTACCTGTAAGGCACCAGGCGCTTTGGAGTTATATTCAGAATCTATAATTTCTCAGCAGTCTGAATAAATGTTTGATCTTATAAATACCTCGATAACTAGGTTTCTGTTCTCTTTTTTTTTTTAACCCAGCTGTGATAAGTACAAGGTAAAACTGATTGCAAGAAGAAAGGAATTTTTATGAGAATAGGAAAATAGAGCATTTACTGCACAATTTCAACTTGTGGGGTCTTATACGAGGGTTATTTTGTTTTGAAGGTCTGATTGGTCGCGAATGGAAAGCTTTGAGGAAAATCTGCTAGGTCTGTGCGCAGACCTCCAGCGCTGTGTCTGTAGTTGGTGCAGAGAACGGGTCGATTCGCAGTTATCATTTCTGAGTATGTAGGGAGCTGCACATAAACATGCTTCAAAAAATAGTCTCCCGCCAAATGTGAATTGCGTTCAGTCATTCGATTTCTGTATGCTGAAGGAAGCAGTGCAGCTGAAATTCATAGATGAATGAGTAAGTGTACAGAGAAATGTTCATGAAAGACAGCAAAGTGTGGAAATGGTGAGGAACTTTGATGCTGGAAGCACATATGTTCATTATGCAGACGGCCAGTGAAGAAAGCCAGTGTCAACCAATGATCTTGTTCAGCGTATGGATCAAGAAATTTGTGGAAATCGGAGGTTCGCAATTTCTAGGTGGAGTGATTTGCTTCTGGAAATTTCACAGTCAGCTCTCTATACCATTGAGAGTGAATTATTAGAGTACCACAAACTCTCCACGAGATAGGTTCCCAAGATGCGATCTGACCATTACAAAACTCACCAAATGGGCACCGTATTAACCTTTCTCCAGCGCTACCCTCATGACAGAGATGAGCTTTTGGACGAAATTGAATCCAAACAGCGGATGCATTCACACACCCCGAGTTGTATACTAATGAAGTTCAAGTGCGTTCTCCCCAAAAGAGTGTATGGTTACAGTGTTTTGGGACCATAAAGGTGTTCTCTTGGAGGAATTCATGCCACATGGCACAACCATCACTGCAGCTTTGTACAGCAAGACTCTTCAATATCTTCGAAGGACAATTCAGAACATTGCCTGACAGAACATTGCTGTCAGGCAATGTCCTTCTTCATGACAATGTACAGTCGCACACTGCGGATGCAACAACCATCCTCCTGCTGCATTTTGGAGGGGAAGTTTTTGATCACCCACTATACAGTCCTGACTTGGTTCCCTCAGATTTTCATCTCTTTGCCCACATGAAACGCAGCCTAGGAGGACAAACTTTTCCTACAGACAGGGAGCTGCAGAACAGTGCACAGAATTGGCTGAATACACAGACGGCTGCTTTCTATGATGAAGGTATTGGAAAAATGGTAGCACGCTATGACAAATGTATGAATCAGAATGATGATTATGTCGAAAAGTAGCTCAATGTATCACATTGCTCTTTATAAAATTTTCTATTCTGACTGTGATTTTTATGTTGCCCTCGTAACCTGTGTCATCCTGATGAAAATATCAAAAGATGACATCATCTGAAATATTTTATTTTCTTTCCACTCTTTGCTAAGATAACTGAAAGTGACAGGAGAACGATTGATTCATTAGTAGTAAAATAGCTATTTTTAGTAATTTATAAGGCAAAATATTTACATGCTCTATAAAATGGTTAAAAGATGCAATTTTTTTTTTAAATTTAAATAAAGAAATATTTGTTTTTGCCTTTTTCAAATTTAGGAAAAGTGGTATCTAGTTTGAAGAGACTGAAAATAACATTTGGGGGCATACATGATTGTAAAATTTTACCCAACAACATTTGCAAAACGTTTTTTTTTTTAATTTTGCAAAATAACTTTTTTTAATTCACCTTAAATTTTAACATTAGAAAGAACATTTATCTTGCAGGGTGGCCACTCAAATCAGATTTCAAATTTTCCTGATTTTTCCAGGTGAAAATCTTAAAATTTCAAAGTTCATTTTTTTTTCTCTTATAAAGTGTAGGATATGTACAAGAAAAGTGTCTATATTATAAAATATCTTATTCAAAATGTCATTTTTTTTAACATATCTTAAAAAAAAAATTTATTTTAACAAAATTTTGTTTTTTTATTTTTTAATGTTCCGGTACAACATTAATTTTTAAAAAATTAAGATATGTGGATAAAATAATATATGTGTAGCTTGCAGAGTATATTGTTTTTATTGAATAACGTTTTTTAATGTGTTACTTTAAGTAGTATTTGCTCAAAGTGTACCTACAAAATGGCAAAAACAGAATGACGAATAAAACCTTGGATATGTATTGTTTAATATATTTTCATTAAGCAAAAGAAAACTGTTTCAGATGATTACATATCAACAAATTTCTATAATTACAGCGGATCCCAAAAGTGTTTGTTCACTTATAACTTTTATTGAAATA